AGAAGATAAAAACTAACAAAAACTAATAAAGAGTAAAGAAAGGAAGGGAAAAGAAAGAAAAAAAGACAAAGGTGCAGGGAAAAAAGATAAAAAGAAAAAGAAGCTTCTGATTTTCTTTGCAGCAAATACAAATATGATTACAAAGTTATTTCTTACTCTATGGTTATAAAGAGAAAAGCTCACTTTTTTCTAGTACCTACTTTTTTTCTAATCATCAAAACCACAAATTGTGAGTGTGTTTTTTTCTGTTTCATGCAAAAGGTCTATAAGGGGTTTCCATCGGCCCTAAATGTAGATATTGTTTTTCTCTAATTAAGGAAGTCAATTTAGCATCATCTCGGCAAGTTCCATCCCTTCACCAGCCATTCCTCTCCGGTGGGGAGGGTCGAACCGTTTCTCTTTTGAGCAGGGTCCCCGCTTGGCTCTTGTTTCTTAAACTCTTGAGCCCCAAGGGGAACGTGGGTGCTGGGGGCCCTTCCGAGGCAGAATGGCGGCCACAGGGAAGCCCCCGGCCCAACTCCGCCGCACCACAGGGTCGGGGCAGAGGGATGCTGCTGCCCGCTCCCGGGGAGGACGACCCACAGCAAGGGAGTGAGCTCAGTGGGGCTGCTGGCTTTGTTTGTAACCCTGGACTTAGATCACATAAAATGTCCGTCTCACTTGATAAGATGCAAAAGCCGGACCTCTTAATTTGAAATAACTGCTTTTTCAGGAAGGGATTTAAGTAAAACTCTTGATAATCCCCTAAAGCGAAGAGGAAACCATTCCACATTTGCTCTTCTCTACTGCAGAGGCATTTCTCTGTGTTTGAGGATAATATCGATTTGCCTTTCTCTGAAGCTGCAAAAGAAGACGTCTCCAGGCACCTGGAACATCTTTTTCTGCAAATCCCTCTAAGAAGAATTGTGTTTTGGGGGCGGGAAGGAAAAGTTATGCCGCTGTTTCTATTTCAACTGGTTTGAAATACCGGTTTCTGATCTGAAATATCACTAGCCACACAGGTTTTCAGAACAGGCAGGGAAATGCCATCTGAAGCGGTCGCAGGGACAGACGCTTCTACGCTGCCGCTCGGTGAGCTCAGCAGAAAACGCAGCACAAAACCACTTGCGATTGCGTTCTCCCCAGATCAGATTTTGCTAATGTTTAATTTCGGCTGCCTACGTCTCTGTGACCTCAGTGTAGAACTAATGGGAGAACCCATTATGTTATTTTTCTTTCCTATATTTTTACATGACTTCCTATACAAAAACATTGTGAAACTGTCTATGAACTAGAAAACTGCACACGAAAGGAAAATAAAGCAGAAACAGGCCGCCATCCAGCACGAGAAAAGACAGAGGCCTTCAGCGGGCACGAGGTCTTCTTCTTCTCCACATTCCAACTTGGAGAGGGTACCGTGAAGGCTGCCTCTGGGCGGCCTCGGGCTAGTATTTTGTGGCTCACCTCCCAGGTGACTGGAGTGACCGACCAGCTCGAGGCCCATCCGTCGTTTTGGGCCTTCAGCCTGGCCTGGGGGCTACGGCTGCTGCCACGGAGGCATCAGGTGCGCAGAGACCGCTGCTGGGGGCTGGAAGGAGAGTGGGGCAGGGGGGCGCAGGCCGGCGCTAACAGAAAAGAGCAACGTCTCCCCGGCCCCCAAGTGGGTCAGCAAGCGGCGGCTCATGAGGGAACGCAAGAGAAGCTAGGGGCAGCTCGACCCTCCACCCAGCACCCCAGCTCAGACCATTTGAACACAGGACTGGAAGGGTGCTGATTTATTTTGTTTCGCTTGGCAGCATCCACCCAATGTTGTCTGATCTCCAAAAGCTAAACAGGTCAAGCTGGTTAATTCTTGGATGGGAGACCACCAGGAAGTACGTGTCTATAAGTTATTAATGCTCCTGTGGCCATGAAAATGGCGGGGGTGTGGCCATGAAGTCACCAAGGGTCGAGGTGGAGGAGACTGCTTTTGTCTTTGTTCTTTATCTCTGGATGTCCAGGCAGCGAAAGGTCAAACGGGGGGAGTTAGAGGGTGAAAGACCCTCAGAGTTCATCTGGACTGCCCTTTCCTACTGATGCACTGATATCATATCCCTGATAGGTGACCAGAGCCATCCAGTACTTGCTTTAAACATTATTTAAATTAAAAATACTTACCATCTTCAAAGTAGTCTATTTCTTTGTACAGAAAGTGCTACTTAGGGTTTTGGGGTTTGTTTGTTTTTTGGTGCCTTCAAGTCAGTGTTGACTCCGGGCGACTGCCTGGACCAGCCCCTGCAGTTTTCTTGGCAAGGTTTTCCGGAAGTGCTTTGCCCTCGCCCGTTTCTTCCTGGGGCTGCAAGGGAGGGACTGACCCAGGGTCGCCCAGGCAGGACTGGAACTCAGGGCCTGCTGGTTTCTAGCCTGATGCCATAACCATGACACCAAACTGGCTCTTTCCTGGTATTTAGTCTGCCTTATTTTAATCTGAGTTCTTTCGTTTGACTCCTGTTCCTGGAATTTGCTCTGTTGTCCAGACCGTGAAATATGTGAGGATGGCTGCACCCCTCCCACTCCCACCCCCACTCCCACCCCCACTCCATAATCTCTTCTCCCTTTGCTTCGGCTCTCACACGCTCTTGGCTCCCTCCCCAGGACAGCCTCCACTTTCTTGGTCTAGAGCTTGCTCGGCATTCACATTATGCTGCTGCTTCAAATTCGTTGCATCTACTGTATTGAACTCCTTGACCTGCTGTTAAGCCAGATCATCCGCTGTAGACCTCTAACTCTCGATGTCCAAAAGCAACTGTATTTCAGATCAAATCAAATCCTTATAATGGTCATAGAGCAGCATCTATTTGCATTTGTCTCCACTGAAGTTCATTATTGGTTAGATTTTCCCAGTTGTCTTAAATCTTGGGAATGACTTCCAGGGTCCTGGCTTTCCTTCCAAAGCCGATGGCATTGCTTGGGTACCTAAAGATGTCACGACTCCCACTGAGATCCCTCTATTCTGTGCTTGCCCGCTCGGCCATATGAGCTGAAATGACGGCTGCTCCTACCAGCAGTTTTGGGTGGCAGATGGTGGAGGGTGCTGCTGGACTGCGGCCAGGCCCTGCCCCTGGGGGCCCCCCCAGACACCCACTCCATCTCTCAGCTCCTCAGAGCGAGCTGCCGGGGAGGTGGGCACATGCTCCGTACACGAAGGACCATGGAGGAGGGAGGCACTCAGCGGTGCCCAGCTCTCGAGAGGCCCAGGCAGCTGCCTGCTTGGGCACCAGAGACCTGTGTAGGGAGGCCCTTGGGCTGGGCTGGGCTGGGGGGAGCTGCATACTTGCCAGGAGCGGGCAAAGAGAAGGGCCAGGTGCTAGGACAGGGCAGCTGTCTTGGGCCATCTCTGCCCTTGGAACAAAGAGGGCAGCAGGGACAGGTTTGAAGCTATCGTTCCGGATGAGGGTTTCTAGTGAGTCTCGTCCAGTCTCTCGTGAGGCACAGTGACCAAGGGCTCAGGTTCTCCAAAACAGAACGGTGGGTGAGAATCCACAAGGGTGATTCATACACCCAAAGAGAAACCGACTTGGGACGCCCCCAGGTTGCAGATCTTAGACTTCTAGTGGGGGAGTTAAAGGGGCTCCCCCACAGCCCATCTGAGTTCACTGGCATGGGTATCCGAGGAGTTCAGGAGGGGAGGCTGGAAGGAACGGAACGGAACGGAAGGCCCGCCTTCCCAGGCCCACTCGGATCCTCTCTAGCTGTTGCGTTTCTCGTCCTTTGATGGCCGAGTTCCGCAGGGTTCTTGTGACTCCTGAGACGTTTCTGGCCAGGGCTGGTGGAACAGCTGCCTTCCACAGAAAAAGATCTCCACCACCGCCACCTGGAATGGCGGGGGGGGGGCAGTGAACGTGTCTCTAAAGATGCTATCCTGGCTTGTCTGAACTTCCTTTCCCATCTCCTGATGCCACGTTGTGCGGATGGAGACTCGGCAGCACTCTGCCTTTGTGTCTGCTGCGGCTACTGCTTCTTCTGGGTCAGCTCTGGAAGGAAGAGCCTTCAGACATGCCCTCCTGCTTCTGGGCTCCTCCTCCTCCTCCTCCTCCTCCTCCCAGCCTGCTTGCTTCAGGGAGGGCCCCGTGGTCTGCCTGCCTCCTGATCAATGCCATGCCCTTGTTTTGCAGAAAGATGCCAAAGGCCAGTTCCTCTTTGACCTGCTTTGCCATCACTTAAACCTCCTGGAGAAGGATTACTTTGGGATCCGCTTTGTTGACCCCGACAAGCAGAGGGTGAGTCCCGGCGTGGTGCTTTTGGTCTGGTGAGCCCCTTCCCCTTGCCCAGCCTCAAGGCCAGCGAAGCGGCTGCAGGTGGCGGGTCTCTTGCTTGGTGGGGCTTCAGCTGCTGGCCTTACAATGCTCCGGAGAGGGAGAAGGCCGTTCCCGGTGAAGAAGCAGCTGCCCCTCTTTTCCTTCCGCCAGAAAGACTCGTGTTGCTTCTACCCAGTTGTCACAAAGACTTGCACAGAATTTCGCTACATAGCACATTGTTTGCAGTGTCTTCGCTTGCTTGTTAGCTCCCATCTGGGGTTTATGCCCTGCCATTCTTCAAGGCCAGAGATGTGCGGCCAAGGCCCCGGGCCCCGTATGGCCCCGTGAGCCTTGGATGAGATACCCTGAGATCCTACGTATGTGTGTTTGTAAAGTATATTTGAAATTAATCAGATTTAATTGTAAATTAAATGAAATTGTATCCCTACCCACTGCTTTTTGGAGTACCGCTCAGGCTGGTAAAGTTGAATGCCCTGCTCTTCCGAGAACCGGGGCAACGAACCCTGCCCTCCCTCCTCTATTGTCTCTCTGCAACAGCCCTGCAAGTCAAGGGGCGGGACCCCGGCAGAGCTTGGGGTGGCCGGAGTGGCTCTGAGGTGGAATTATGTGCTCTGGGGAAGTTGTGTTGCACCTTTGAGGATTGGCTGTGGCTCCCGGATAAGAACAGGTGAAGGCCTTGGGAAGGTGCCCCTGGGTGCCCGAGGGAGCAGGTGGCCAACAGGTGAACTCCCTGCCCCCCGCACTCCATCCATCACCGCGCGCTCACGAGACCCAGAGTCCTTGATGGATGGCGGGTGGGGAGACGTTGTACTTCCTGTGCAGGCAAAGCTATAAGATAGAAGAGCAAAAGACATCTAAAACACCCAAAAGCTATAGCATGATTACCCTAAGAGCCATGTATAGAAATTCTGGTGACTATTAGTACTAAAATTACAAAAACTATTAAGTGAACATGCACTGTAGGATAGAGAATAAAACAATAATACAAAATAACTAGAATTAACAATGATATTTTATAAATCCTACTTTGGGTGCATTACGCAAAGAGCTAGCTCTCTGGGGAAGTCGGTAGTGCTGTGAAGGGTGGAAGGAAAGAGGAGAAGAGGACAACCAGCAGCAAGGGGGAAGGACGCAGTTACGGCAACTGTGGCCGCTCCGTTGGAAGACCTGAAGGACCAGGTTGGGACAGATCGTCATGGAGATGGCAGATGTCAGTCACCAGGAATGGTCCTTACCTGATCTACAGGCTGACAATACACGGCAGCTTTCTGTCTTAGGGAGGGTTTGTAATCTTAGAGTAAGAAGCCGAGGGCCAGCTTGCGAATAATGGGGGATGAAGAGCCTTGGCAACCTCTCTGTCCCATGCGCACCTCAGGAGGCTTGGCCTGCCCCAGATTGTAAGGGGCACAGGTGTTCCAAGGGCAGGCGCTCCCTGTGCCTTTGACCCGGCCTGAGAGAACAGCCTTTCTCCCTCCGCAACTGCAGCTGTCTGGGGTCTGCGGCTAGCGGTGACTGCCGATGGTTTGGGTGTTCACAGCCTAGGTTGGATTTGTACCCCGTGCAGTTGAAAGACCCTTAGCGGTCCACAATATAATGATAAGAACCAGTACAAGGAAACATCCACAGAACAAAATTTAAAAGGTTAAGAAATCAAAATCAAAGAGCACGCCCCGCAACAAAAACTCGTGGCACCATTTTGTCCTCCAAAACTCTCTGAAATAATTCCCATCTTTCAAGCTGACGGAAGGCCAACAATGTGGACTGACGTGGTAGGCGACAGCAGGTTTGGTGCCCTCCTGCAGCTCGGCGTCCAGTATTGGCTGCCAGGGTAGAATTGCCTGCCCAACGCAAAGAAGAGGAGGGGGAAATCCCTAATGGTGCCGCTCTCCCTGCCCATGGAGATGGGCATCCCTCTGCCCGAGATCCTGGAAAATCGCTCAGCCAGCAATTGTGAACCCGAAGCCAACCCTGCCCTCCTCGTCCATGCACTTGCTCCAAGAGGACCCAACAGGGCGCTCTGGAGGGGCATTGTCAGGAAGAGGGCCCAGCCTTGGGGGCACTGCCTGTGCCTCAAATAATTTGAGGCTACATAGAAAAAGCCACCACCTGGAGATCACAAGGACCTAAGAAAGGGCACACCTGGCACTGAGCTTCTGGGGCAGAATAGGCAGTATGGAAAAGGCACCGCAAATATTGGGAGCAGATCACCTGACTGACTGGGTGCCCAATGAATTACAGACACAAATCTTGCTCTCCTGGCAAAGATCATGATTCTAGCCTTTTGAGAACAAGCTACCCAAAATATTGCTACGAGATCTCTATGTAGTTCCAGTTCAGCTCCATGTACTTTGTAGCTAGTACGATTTTATGACTGAAGCCAGATTGATGGGGG